AAAAAAATAAAATTAATAATAAAACAAACAAATAAAAGAAGCTCAATTGGATATTGGAATAATACATCTATATGTATTTAAAATTATATATATATATATATATATATATATATAAATGCATATAAAATAATAAAACTAATAAATAATAAAAACTTAAATGAGCATCAAAAATACATCTTCCTTTAGCATCAAAAGTATTCCAAACTTTTCACTTTTTATCTGAACTTTGTGTAGAATCTGTCTTTCTTCTTTTTTTTTTCAAGAGAGAAGAAAAGGAAAGGTGATTTGCAAGAAGTTCAGGTAAAAAAAGATAAGACTTTCTATTGTGAGTTAAAAAAATGTTTACCTAAAGTAGAGTTTTATGTAAACAATAAGATTAAGAAGAGGCTTGTACAACTTCAGAATATAAATATTCATTTAACATTCGCGAATAATAACATAATTGAGAGTAAAAGCAAAAAAATAACCTAACCTCAAATAAAGTTCAATAAGAATAGAAATACGTATTAAAGAAAATGTATTAAGTTGAAAAAAATTATAAAAGGTTAAAAGAAAAATGTATTGTTCGATAATAAATTACTTCATAGGAATGAGACACAAACCAATGTTTAAGAAATGATATGTACGATTTTTTTGCATAAAGGCTTCTGTAAAAAAACAACTATGAGCAAAATGCAACTTACACTATATTTTTCTGCAAATTCTGATAGTTCACAATAAACGTTGAGATTTACAGCTCAAGCAGAAATTAGTTTGAATAACGCTTATCCATGCTGTGGCGCATGAAATGAGAAAATAGGTTAGAAAAGACAAAGCTCTCCAAATTTATTAAAGCAAAAGCTCCCGATTACAAAGAGAAAAGATGATTTTGGTATCTATGAGATTTTTGTCTTACCTAGCAAAAATTGTCTTCGTGAAAAGGAATAATTAGTTGATGTAAATTTTCATCTGATCCTCACTTTACTACGATTACCAAATTCTTCTAAAAAAAAACCGGCGGTATAATATGGCGCTGTATGTAAACGGTGTAAAGTTTTAGCCAATTTCTTTATTCTTTTTTGTTTTTCAAAGAGAAACTAAATTTGCGTCTATATTCGGAACCAAAGAGGAAACTGAACACGTGTATGGCCACGTTTTTAGTTAGTTCCAATAGGAATAAATTTCAAAACGATAGAACTTTCTAGCTCCCTTTAGCCAAGCCAGATGAGATACTATTGGGTGCATTCAAAACGACACCGCTCACTAAGCGCTCAGTGAGCTTTTTTATCTGATTAGTCTATATTTTAGGATCTAATAGAATATGCCAACGGAGCTCATTGAGCGCTCAGTAAGCGATTGGACGTTCTGGATGCATCCATTAAAGACTGTCAACCCTGGGCAAATTTTCGGCGGTATAAAAAGGGCCCCAAGGGTCCGGAGGTAATTGAAGAATGCTGACATTATCGACAATTGATATAAATTTGCTATTATTAACATAAATATTTATAACTCATATATTATTAAATTCATGATTTTTTATTACATAAATGTTCCATAAATAAATGTGCATACTCGTAAATACTTATAATATCCTATATATTGCAGAAAAATTACAATTTTTTCTCTGCAGTTATCATCTCTGTTGATAATTAAACTTTAACATTGAAACGATAACACTGAAATTACAATTAAAAAAAAAATCGAGTATTATTGAATTCTAAATGCATAAAAATACGTCTACTAAACTAATAAATCATAAAATTAGTATAATATTATCAGTTTTTAATTCTTAATTATTTCAATATTCACAAGGACATGAACTCCCGTAAAGATGTCGGTCTTTAATAGTATCTCGTCGGTGGCCAAGTCAAGTAATATAGCAAGAACAGAAATAATTCAAAATTTTTGAACACAAAACAATGCTAGCAGCATTGGGCCAGTTTCCACCGAGGGTTTAATGTCTGTTCTACAATAAAATCGCAAGTCGTAAGCCGTAAGAAATTGGCCAATCACAGTTAAGTATGAAAAGAATAATCGATTATGATTGGTTAATTTCTTACGGCTTACCGCTAACGACTCTATTATAGAACAGGCCTAATCCGGATCAGAATGTAGGAACCGTGGAAGATGGCCAATCTTTCTTTCCACTCAACGATATAACGAGAGAGAGAATGAGAGGGAGATTAGCCGTCTTCCACAGTCTCTCTCTCTCTCTCATTTTTGTCGACCATATTACTTAGATAAAATCGCGCAGTTCATTCTTTATGTCTTTGGTCTCGCTGTTCCGACGCCAGCCTAAAGCCTTGTGTCCATGATGCTAGAAACCGGTCCGAGAACAAATTATATTTAAACAATTTGATCACATGATCATTGCGATTGGTCAATTCTTTTCTGCATTGTGGACATCGGGCTTAATGGCTCCTGCACACAGAACGCGGTTATTGTACTAACTAATAATTCTATGTTTTTAAGTCGGCCTCACCATGCAAAACTTCTAGAAATATTATAATATTGCTTCCGCCGGGCGGCAAGCGTTGCTGCGCTCGATGTGCAGAAGCCATAAGACCTACTCATGTAGCGAAATAGTGTAACGCGGAACAAGAGCAGAATCAATCACAAGTGTTCCACACCAATACAATTGATGCAGAACGCTTGTGATTGGATTCGCTCTCGTTCCGCGTTACGCTATTCCATTGTATGGATAGCCATCCTAAGGGTGAAATCACATGGTGCGGAAAACGACTACGGAATAGAGAACGCGTCATAAAAGCAATCAACGTTATTCTGTGTTATTCGGAATAGCGCTAAAGCCGGAAGCACATAGAAAAACGTAAGACCGTAAGACGTAATCAGTAAAGATATCGTAAGATTGGATTCGCTATTGGCTTTACGGTCTCTACCGTGATTGGGCAATTCGCTTACTGATTTTGTCTTAACGGCCTTATGTTTTTGTATGTGCCATAGGCTTAATTGGTTGTTTCAATGGCCTAGTTTCCACAGAGGGTTTAATACGGATCAGAATGTAAGAACCAATCAATTACAATTGCGTATTCCCCTGTTACAGCCGAACGATAGGAGAATGCTTGACTGTAGTTGATTGGTTCTTATATTCTGATCCGGTTTAAACCTTCGGTGGAAACTAGACTACTGTGTGTTATTTATTCTGGAATTTAAAATTCAATATGTTTAATTATAAATGCACGCATAGATGACAGAATGTGTATAAATTTAATTAAAAAAAAAATTTCACATAATATATTCTCATATTATATTAGACAAATATTCAAAGTATTATTTTATATTTATTAATTTACCTTACTTTTTCTTTCTTCGCTTTGCATGTGGCAACTTTAATAAACAAAATTTTCCAATTAAAAATGCACAAAATAAATTTTATATTACAAGAATTGGCCCGCCAACGCTGGAAAGTTAAATAGAAACATGGTGGAAATGTATTAAGTGCTCTTACGCTTTTTGAACACAAGCAGAACGATATCCAGAAGCTGTCATATTGTCACAGTTATTTGAAGTTGACGTTATGTCAGTATAAAAGCGGGAAGCACAGACTCTTATGTCTTATGTGTTATGCGTTATGCAAGAGTTTGTGCTCCCTGCTTAACACGCATTCTACAATAAGCCATTAGTCTTAAATCAGAAGCCATTAGTCTTAGCAATAGTTAACAAGATAGAAAATTGACCACAGTTGTCAATTATTATTGTGCGTGCGTACATATTTTTTAATACTACTAATAATACTTTAACTTAATAATAATTTAATTAATTTTTTTTAACTTATAATTTAACTGATTTTATTTAAAACCAAAAATAATTTGCAATATTAAAATTAATATCAGAGACAGCATACAAGTTCGATATACATTCTACGTCGCGCGGTACACACGTATGACGTGTACTATCATGTATAATACGATACTTTTGGAATGCGTATACCAAACACAACCCTAATAGCGACTATCGTGATCTCTTTTTACAACCTATCTTGCACAATTCTTCTTAATTCCATCTAATAAAGTTCGATAAAAGTTAATTAAACAATTACATATAGTGTCTTAAATGTCTATGATGCGAAAATTAACATATACCTATGTTGCTCGTACTCATTATATAAAATTTATTTGTATTGTCTCACAATGATTACAATGTATTGTGTATATTAATGCTAAATGTCGTTGTTTTCTAAAGTATAATAATGAATCTTTTTAAGTAAATATTTTTTATTTTGATTTATTCGATTAATAATACGTAACTTTTACGACTGCAATAAATTAAACACATCTTGCAGACATCAAATTCCTTTGTTAACAATTATCATCGAATTTATTATTATACATCATATAAAATAATATATACGTATACACATATATTACATAAAATTAATTATAACAAAAACAATTCTTAGAAATTTTTAAAACACTAATTATATAAGCTCGAATAAATTTTTTGACAAGACTGTACAAAAAGTAAAATTATATATCTATCTTTCTCGGGTATGCCGCGATGTACATTTCAGTGCTTTGTACTATTAATCAATATAGTCATTATATTTAGACATCATATTTAAACACATGCATCTTGAATATGCTCCGATAAGCGTACAAATTGTGTACACTTATTATATGCGTATAAATTCTTTAGAATAGACCAAGCTCAAACGGATATTTTTTAAATATCGATTTAGAAAATAAAACTAATTTTATATACAGGGTGTCCTGAAAGTTCTTGCCAATCGCTTTTGTGTAGATACAGCGGACTAAATTGAGTCGAAAAGTCCTCTACCATTTTGCAATTTTCGCAATAGTTAACAAGATATTAATTACTAAAAATTGCCAAATATTGATCTCGATAATTAATTTTTTACTCGAATACCATCAACTTTACAGCAAAACTGCAAGAAAAAAAAATCATTTATTTTCTTCTCATAGAATTGTCTTCTCACAGAAATCTCTAAGAATTTTTTATCAACTTTTTAATACTGCATTTTCTTATTTTTACTAACATAAGAAAATACGGTATTAAAATATTCTGGAAAAATTCTGAAAAAATTCTCAGAACTTTATATATATGAAAAGAAAATAAATAATTTTTGTCTTGTAGCTTTTCTATAAAGTTGATAGTATTTGAGTAAAAAATTATTCAAGGCCAATATTTGGCAATTTTTAGTAATTAATATTTTGTTAATTATTGCAAAAATTGCAAAATGGTAGAGGATTTTTCGAATCAGTTTAGTTCGCTCTATCTACACAAAAGCGATTGGCAAAAGCTTTCAAGACACCCTATATATATAAAAGAGATCTAATTTCCAGATATTAATACTTTTTTTCTGAAAAATACAGTAATCGTATCTTTGATATAGTAAAATGGGCATAGAAAATGCAAATAATAAATAGGTACAATAATTAATTTAAAAGATTACTATTATTCATTTAATTTAAAACAAAAATGATATAAGTGAATTAAATTAAATTTTGTAGATAAGAAATAAATAAATTTTAATATTTAATATTTATAAGATTAATATTTAT